AAGAAAAATAAAAAAAAATTTGATTGCCCTGCGTGGGAGATAATTTTGTCCGTCAGGATTGCTGCACTTCTCGTGTCGCCATACGATTTAGCTGTAGGGTGATTCATGTAATCGCTGGTCGGTTACGGCTTTCCCCACCATCAAGTCCATGCTTCCGAAAACAAACAACTACCTAATTCCATACCCGACATGGCGAGCGAGAGGCCGTGGTTCGCCATATGGCTGAGCCGTCCTATCGGCTTTCTCCCGGGATAAATATGTAAATCATATACTACTGGACGGTAGGCCGTGGTCCCATATTTTAGCTGTATTATTTGGCTTTACACTCCCTGGGATAAATATAAAAATTCCGATTAGATTGTGTCCTCATGATATAAATTTTTTTTTATCGCATATCGGTGGAGTTATACGATTTATTCATCACATTCGAGTGACAGAAAGGAGAAATGAACCCTCGCTGTAGCGAAATGATCAATAGTCACCAGACTAACAGAACACTTATGACGTAGGTTTTAAAAATAATTCAATGTAGTGAACAGAGTCGTTTGAAATATTTTAATAATAATCAATTTTTTTTACCATTTTGGTGACTTTTTACTAAAAACTTCTCATGAATATTAGGTAATAATTAATGCTGTCTTAGTAATTTTCTTAATTATTGTATTCCGTAGGCTCAATTGTTGTTTTTCTGTACTTACTATTTGATTTTGATTGACTCCGAACGCCGCGCCACTACCAACTGCTGATATTGCCAGATTCTGGAATTTAGGAGTATAAAGTATGCCAACATTACGAATGTCAGGCCGTCAGTGCGAGTTTCGCGTTTTAGTTAGGTTTTTCGACATTTGACGTGTCTTTTGTAGCATAGGAGTTTCTGAGAATCCCAATATAGGGCTTAAATCTGCAGATCTTCCTGGAGTCTGCCAAGTACCGGTACAGCAATATTCAGATATTGTAACTTAGGATAAAAGTTACATAGACTATTTACCGGTATCCCAGGGGAGAGGAAAGCCGATGTGACAGCTTAACCCTATGGCATACCACAAAGCGTATACCGGTATATAATATAAGCGAGGCAACGCTCATCAATGGACGCCATCTTGTGCCTATTTCTGTATTTGCTATTGTTTTCGACCTTATGACAGTTTGAGAAGTTCCAACACAATTATTGGGCTACCTATTATTTTCACTAATATTTTAGATAGAAAAATTTTGGGGTCTCGTGTAGTTTCGTACCTAACGTTCTGATGGGCATAGCATAACAATTTTTTGATATGTCAATCCTAACCCCCATCTGACTACGCCATCCAAAAATTACGGGGTCTGGTATAGTTTAGTACCACATCCACTTCTAGTTGGCCTGGCTCAACAATTTTTGCATATGTCAATCCTAACCCCCACCTGACAACGTCATCGAAAAATTACGTCATTCCGACGTCACAGTGGCGTAATAAGGCCCACCGAAATATGCGGATGATCGTCCAAAACGCACAGACGATAACCCGAAATCGAGCAAGCTATTTCTCTCGTTTACTCGTCGCAACGATCACGATAGGAGAGAGATCGCCGGCTTTAGCAAGTTCTGATCGGCGGCGCAGATGCCATTTCGGGCGATCATAATTATACTGGCGATCCCTATGATGTGAGGGTGACGTCGTAGTGACGTAATTTTTGGATGGCATAGTCAGGTGAGGGTTAGGAATAACATATGCAAAAATCGTTATGCTACGCCCACTGGAAGTACTTGTGGTACTATACTAGACCCAAATTACGTCACTACGACATCACAATCATGTCATAGAGCTTGCCAAATATACGTACAATCGCCCGAAATGGCATTGGCGCCGACGATAAAGAACTGACTCACGTTATCGATCTCTCTCCTATTGGAATCGTTGCAACGAGTAAACGAGAGAAATAACTGTTCGATTTCGGTTGCTCGTTTGCACGTCTTGGATGGCAGTTCGTATAGCTTGAAGGGCTCTATTACGTCACTGTGACGTCGTGTTGACGTAATTTTTGAATGGTGTAGTCAGGTGGGGGTTAGGATTGATACGTGAAAAAATTTTCATGCTATGCCCACTAGAAGTATGCTAGGTACGAAACTACATGAGACCCAAATTTTGAAGGTTGCGTTTTGAAGTAGAATCTTTGCCGTACATGCTTATATCCTTTCATGTTGGCCAAATTACATTTATAGTACATTAAATTGTCCTTGAAGACAAGTATACCGGTTCCGAGTTGCTTCCGAAATAAATTGGCCATTCTAATCGTCATAATTAACCATTTGACAATGGCTTTCCTTATGACGTCACAGATGAAAAGTTGTATTTATTCGTCGAAATTATCGGCTGACCCAACTTTGCTTCAATGGCTGTTCTATTTTCTGGTTAACATTTTTCGTCTGTCAAGCTCCATAATGCCATTGTAGGATTGTTGCGGAGACATTTTACAGCCTCAAATTGGCGTATCACTATAACATCTTCGAAAAAATGACCAAAAATGGTTCTACGCTGTGTTTGTGGTCAAAGTTAACGCATTAGATAGTTTTTTATTCCTGATTGCGTTATATATTTAGATAGCATATATCTTAAATTTCAAAATCCACCCTTCAGTTTCATTCTAGTCCTTATAACAGCGGACTTATTCGCTTCGGTACAACCACACGACGAAAATTTCCCATAAGACTTCATATTTTTCGCGTTCCCAAATATGGCACAAGATGGCGTCCATGAAATTGTTTAATTAACATTAGAAAGTTGGTTGCTGGCCATTGGCATACCACGGCCTCTCGTCTGGTTACCATTACATGTCGGGTATGGGATTACTTAAGTAGCGGTTACATGAACCCCCAACGGCGGCGAGGAGTCCAGCAATCCTCTCGCACATAACCATCCCTCATGGGATTCGAACCTGCGAACCCACGCAGAGTAGTTAGAGGTGCGGTGGTGAGCGTATTCCTAACGCTTAGCACGATGAGCCACACCGCCGCGCCGTATCTACTGTTCTATGATTTTACTTCACTTCTCGCTTAAGGTACTGGTATGGTATCATATACGCCACCCGTATAGGATGGGATTTACATATTTATCCCGGGGTAAGGAAAATCATGAGATGGTTTAATCATATGGCGAACCACGGCCTATCGTCCGGTTACAGGTCAATGGTGGTATGGGATTAGTTAGCCATGTAATCTAGCAATCAGTGTAGTTTTTCATGGCTTGGTTTTCTCAAAGCTTTCATGGCTTCATGAGTATGACTATCGTCGCCAATTTATTACATTCCACTCCCTACATTATCTTTGAATGAGATTTTATTGGTCATTATCAATGAACAGACGTACCGTAAGTGTTAAAAGTACAACAGCCCGAAAGTTCAATACTATCATGTATTTTGTTTGTTAAGTTTGGCCCAAGCCTCATTCAACTGGGCTTGTGTTTTTGTGTGCGTACTGGTGGGCAGGCATATGAGATAGTTCTCATGTTTTAAACTTTTTTTATAGGTTTTGCTTGCTCTCCAGAATTCTCCGTTTTTAATTTATGTTTGTTATAGAGTTTTCAAAATAGACTATCTATCTATCTGTTTACAGAAACCTGGAAACATGGACTTGATGGTGGAAGGAGGACGCTGTAGGTAACCTGGTAACCGACCAGCGATTACGTGACCCACCCTATGGCGGTGGAAGTCCAGCAATCCTCTTGCGCATAAGTCAGTAAGTTAACTATACCCACTTACTGACATAGGATTCGAACCTGCGAACGCAAGCACTCAGGGCACGGTAATCAGAGCGTATTTCTAACTCTCAACTTGCATACTTGATGCGCCACACTGCCGAGCCATATTACATTGACTGGTATTGTTGTATCTTTTCTGCTAGAGGGGGCTGTGTTCCGCTAGCATACCCTGGGTACGTACCGTACCTGTAAGTCTGTGTACCCTTCCTGAATAGGACACAATTCTCAAATTCCAAGATGTTTCCATAATTAGATTCATAGAACAAACACTCTTTCGTTCCAGAAATAAGAGCGCCTGGCATGTTGTCAGATGTGCTAGATCATGCAATGTTTGTCGCGATAATAATATTAATCAAATGTGATGTTCATCGGCTGTCATGTGGCTCATTTCTTTAGAGTTTAGACTGCCTCTTTTGCCAGTATAGCATAGTTCTCTAATTCCAAGCATAACCTACACATTTAAATACATCTAATATAACAGTGAATGCAAACCCCGTTTTATGAGAAAGTTTGGGCTTCCATATCGCCACAAATCAACTGCACTATATACTGAAAATAAGCAAAATCTGAAAATGTCACCATTGGATTAAAAAAAATCTGAATTACCGAAGGCATAAAAAAACTAACATAACATTCAATAGTTTTTAGCAAAACAACATGTGACATGAACGCACTTCACGATTGTTGCGCTTGCAACAAGTTGAAAGTACTTGCTCAAGTTTTTTTGATGTGACATTGCCTACAAAATTTATTGCACCCAGAAACAGGGGCAGGGCTCCATCAGCAGGGTACAGCTTCCCTATTCCAAGATGTCCGGGCCTTTGGTTTAAAAGAAACACTCTATTTTTGCCTGAAACGGAGTGTTTTGCATTGACGTAGATTGTGCCATGCTTGTAATCATGGCCGGCACATGACCAAATTTGCAATTTTTTGCTGAAATCTAGAATGCTATTGTAAAATTTTTTCACTTTGTTAAATCTGAATATTTTTTTCCGGGGTATACAATGGTGCTGTTTTTAGATTGGGTCTCCTTCTAGTTTATTACACAAATCTTGTTTACTGATATGGAGGCGCAGAGTGTCTCGTAAAGTAGGTATTTACGCTAACTATTATAATTGATGTCTTCCGATGTGGGGGCTATCCTTGGAATCGGAGAACAGTGCCATACTGTCCATAAAATCAGCTACTGATATTAATCACTAGGCTATGGCGCCTGCAATGCAATGAAATATACTAATCTCATAATGCTTTTTCAGAATTAATCTGAGAAGACTAAAATATATAAAAAATCCTACATGGTATTAGTATTATGAATAGTACTGTATATGAGACAACCAACAGTGGTAGGAGCACTGTGGAAAATTTAGAAACAACTGCAACAAGCGACCTAACAAGTTTAAATTTTTTGACTCCAACCACATCCCATAGTGGAACATCATTTGCAACTTCACAAGTAACAAATAATATGACAAGCACGACAACATTAGAAGATGGTGAACCTTATGGTGGGGGATTTTACATTGGACTTAGTCTCGCTATTAGTTCAAGTATATTTATTGGCGGGAGCTTTATTTTGAAGAAAAAGGGCCTCCTGCGTTTAGCAAAAAAGGGGTCGCAAAGGGCGGGAGATGGAGGCCATGCATATCTCAAAGAATGGTTGTGGTGGGCTGGACTTATTACTATGGGTTTGGGAGAGGCGGCCAATTTTATTGCATATGCATTTGCACCAGCGACATTGGTCACTCCACTTGGCGCGCTGAGTGTCCTAGTCAGCGCTATTTTGGCGTCATATTTTCTTAACGAAAGGCTGAATTCTCTTGGAAAAGTTGGATGTGTTCTCGCAATTCTTGGATCAATGAATATCGTTACTCACGCCCCTCAAAAAGAAGAAGTTGACAGCCTCACAGAAATGGCAGAAAAATTAATAGACCCACTGTTTGTTTGTTATGCTTTAATTATTCTCGGTATCTCATTGTTTTTGATTTTCTACATGGCACCGAGGAAAGGCACAACAAATATGTTGATCTACATTTCGATCTGTTCATTGCTTGGGTCGTTTTCAGTTTCGTGCGTCAAAGGAGTAGGTCTCATTTTCCGGGATTATTTCGCTAACCGACCAGTTTTTACTTTACCGATAACGTATTTCCTGATTTTCTCTCTCATTGCGACAATTTCAACGCAAATTAACTACCTGAATAAAGCTTTGGATATTTTTAACACGTCAATGGTGACACCGATATATTATGTCCTATTTACTACAGCAGTATTGACGTGCTCTGCCATACTTTTCAAGGAATGGCGAGAAATGATTGTCAAAGACGTCTTTGGAATTTTAATCGGATTTTTCACAACAGTAATCGGAATCTTTCTTCTTCATTTCTATAAAGATGTAGAAGTCCCATCCACACCGCTCCCGATTTTGACCCCACAAGACAGGCTAAATGATACCTCTAGAAACGGGCATCGTGTTTACTTTGCAAATAACTCAACGAACCATGGGAATGAAAAACTAGAGCTTCTAGACCACATGGATACTTTGTATTCCGAGGAAGACGAGGACACAACAATATTTGAAACTCAGAATAATCAGAGGAATAAAATAGGAATAAATAGTTGAAAACTACAAAATACAAGTTAAAATAACCGTATTTTATGAAAGATTATGGCATATCAACATTATTGCACTTAACAAACTTCAAACTTGACTGGCCAAATCATTGAAAGGTTGGTAAGTTAGACTACAGATGTGAGTACTCCAGTAGTGTGTGTACCAGGTTAGGGTTAGGTCATAATTTCATTTTGATTTTTTTTTTTTTTAGTTTTATTACGAGTTTTATTACGGGGACTGTCTCTGTTAGCCAAGTGAATATACCCTCTGCCCATAGGCTTCAGTTCTTACCAATTGATGTAATGTAGGCGAACAAAATTAGTTAACTCCTTATTGGTATACACACTTCTGGAGCGCTCTGGATTTGTTCCTCAAAAGTCCAAATTTAGAAACAAAGACTCAATCGAGCCCTGTTTGCAAGTTTCAATATGGAATCATACTCTAGGTCAGGGGTTCCCAAGCTTTTTTAGGACGACCCCAAGGACAACTTTCAAGTGTCCGGTGCGACCCCAAGTCAATATATATATTTTTCATGAAACTTTAGAGTTTCTTTCACTGGATTTTTGAGTTTGGTCATGTGGTGGTATTAAATAAAATAAGCTAAAACCAAACAGTGATGTCACAATAAGCTAGTACATTTTCTATCATAGCATAAGCATAGAGCGACGGCTATGGGCCTGTTTTACAGTAAGCCATGGTACAAACTGCTATGATTTGTACATCCATCCTCTACCATACCTCAGTGACCCCACCAACCCCATGACCTGTTTGCGACCTTACCTACTTATCACTCTGACCCAATTTAGGGTCGCGACCCCTGGTTTGGGAACCCCTGCTCTAGGTGTTCGAGCCCGGGATGTATAATCAGCGATCTAACCAGCATAGTTAATACTAACACTTCAAACCAGTGGTTCCCAAAGTTGATTGGCCGCAGTCAAAATTAGAAGCGGAATGATTTTTGCGGGTTGGGGAAGGGAGCGACCACAAATGGCCAATACTGGTATAATTGAACTGTTACGAATATAACATGCTTAAACTGTGATTATAACTTAACAATTGGCGGTATTTAAAATGCAAAAAGGTTAAAACAAACTATTTCACTATATTAAATCACTACACGGCCGTAATTGGTCGACGGGCCATGGTTTGGGGACCACTGCTTTATGAAACACAAGGCCACTGCGCCGCCTAAATTTATTCCCATTTATTCTGTGCATGAGTGGATACCAGTATACAGTATGATCTTTATTGTGAAGCTATCTTTTATTATTGAAGTGCCTTATTTTTTATACCCTGGCTAAATTTTAAAATTATGTTATGTTTCTTAAAATTGTTAGTAACTGAAGACTGTAAAGTTGAATGTTTTTGTCTAGTGATTTTATAGAATTTACTGTAGTTAGACCAAAATCATATAACTGTTCGGTCTGTGGAGTTACCGGTATATATGGTTTTTAATCCAAACTTCCAAGCTGACCCCTTAGTTTGCAACTTTCCTTTTGAGTTTCAACTCAGCTTTTATGCGAGGATATACAGTAATGATTTTTTGCTTCCGTAGAAATTTAGACTCGATAATCACTATTTGAAGTAATAAGTCTGAATTTCACTCTGACTCCCTTTTTAAACCAAGAAAAACCAAATTAAATACCAATGCCAAACTACTTCATGTTGCAGGCAGTTTACACTTGTTATATTGAAGCTATGCATTTTGTGTTGTATTGAAAGAGTGTTTGGGCTTCCATTGTGTTATTGGGAGTAAAAAAATATTTGCTGTTGGTTTCACAGAAAGTTTGATATTCTAAATTGAGGATATTTCGTGAATGACATGGTTGTAATAGTTTTCTAAACTATCGTGTTATTGCTCCTCCCAGTGGTGCAGCTAGGGGGTGAGAGTTTCGAGTAGTAATGTTTTAATTTTGTAGTAAGAAGACGCAAGCGCGAATTACATTGAACACAATTAAATTAATATAAGAAACGTTTTAGATTCTCGTAATTTTCATGGATTGAATATTTTATGCGGCAGAAAAGTCCTTATACTCCCAAAGAGTCGGCTTATTCAACGAGGGCGTAATCGCGGTGAGAACAGAATGTGAATTTTCGATTTTGAAATCCTCCCTTTGTGAAAATTCTGATTTCGCCTCTAATTCTCTGATCCGTTTTCTTTGTTTCTGTTTATTTCAAGTAAGGCTGGATCCTGGAATGAGTCACAATTAGTAAAATATCTCGTCATTGTCCAACGACTGAATTTCCGATTACGTATGTTTAATATATAAATATGTTAATTTTGGTACTCCCGAAGTATGTGACCCAAGATGACAAACACTGAATCGTAGTATGTGTACCAGGTTTAGGCCATAACTTCAGGTACGAATACTACGGGAGTCATTTGGATAGTTCCCGAACTAAAATTAAAAGTAAGGAAAATTGGAATAAAATTATGGCCTAACCCTAACTTGATACACTTACTATGTTCAGGTGTCGGCCATCCTGATTCACATGATACTGGGGCGCCCTCGAGAGAACCTAAATTTTGACATTGAATTTTACAAATTGGCACATAGGAAAGAAAATGTTGTCGACGCTCGTTCTAGCAAAACAGGGGTCACTATAAACTTCTCTATCAGTTATAAAGTTGGAGCAACATAGCATTGTGCTTCCCTTACTAACCCTCACAGCTTCACTATTTGTCGATGGTCTTATTATATAGCAGCTATATCAGTTACTTATATTGAAGGATGAGCTCCGGCCTCGTTTCAGGCATTCAAAACAAAATTTTACCAATATTGAGAGTTAATAATACTACCTGATTAATTTTCATGTTGAACCAAATGGTAATTAATAATACTGTTTAATTAAGTTTCATTCCATCTGTATATTTTAAGTTACAATTTTGTCCGGTGTCGGTGTTGTATGTGATCTGCATGCAAATTTCTGATATATAGGGTGTCCATAAAGTTTTAAATTTTTTTCGATATATTTCGAATTTATTGATACCATATATTGTTTTGGCCCTCACAGATGTATTAGATGAAGTAAAAATACTTGAAAAAATTACTGATTAAAAAACAACAAACCTGGTTAAGATATATTGAGAACTGATTCCATAATGAAACTGAAATTGTAAAGGGACTTTATGGACACCCTATATAGGGATGGGCAATTCAAATTACATAATTTAATTTTTAGTAAGTTATCCATGAGGCACACCTGGCTATCAGACAACCTTTTTAAGGAGTATCGCATTACTGTACAAAGCTTATCAAACAAAACAAAAAAGCTCATAGTTTCTGGGTTATTGTATTTTATTCAACAAAAACGTAAAATGGCGGTTTGCGTAAAAAACATTAGTACTGGTTTTTAGTGTGGTAATGGAGCATATAGAACTGCCTAATCCAAAGATGCAAGGCTTATAAGCAGTGTTCCCTCTAAAGTGTGCGCGTGCACACAGCTTGGTTGGCAGGTTGAGAGTTTGTTGTTGTCCCACCCATTATCCGGTTAGAATGCCAGAATTTCTTCGTTGGTTTTTGCACAAATATTAGTCATTTCCAAAAAAGTGCGCACATACCAAAATTTCTGCGCACACATACTACAAAAAATTAGAGGGAACATTGCTTATAAGGCAAGATTGATTTTTGAGAAATAAAAATATTAAATTTCTTCAGTGGCCTATCATAATTAAGGCTAGGCATTTGAATCAAATAGCAAGTTATTTGAATCGGTTTAGTTGGACCACATTTTTAAAATGCAATTCTGACATATACCTCCCCTATTCCTAGTATGTTATTAATGAAACATGTTTTTTATTGTGCTTGACAACCTCATGAACTGACTAAGTGATGGATTCTATGTTTTCAGTGGTTATGCGTATGGAGAACCCATTAAAAAGTCACAATTACACATATTCCAAGTCTTTGTTTCGAAAAAAGATTCTGAAATCATCAGGTATTCGAAAATGCCCAGCCAATCACATTGCACGTAGATCACATGCGACAGCGAAGCATTTTTTTTTTATTTGAACTAGAAGTGAATTATTTTAATTCCTAATTAACTCTTGTAATTATTTTCTTTTTTATATTTTGATTAGTTCACGGTACAAATGGTTTTGCACTATTGCATCATAATAGTTTTTTAAATATTGTCATCTTCTATTTCTGACTTAATCTAAATACCAGTAGTTACAAACTTTTGAGCCAATAGTTTTATCGGTACTCCCGAAGTATGTGTACCTTTTCAGGGTTAAGGCCATAATTTGAATCCGATTTTCCTTATTTTAGTTCTATTACGAGTTCAGGGCTTGTCTGTGTTAACCAAGTGAATATACCCCCTGTCCATAGGTTTAAGTCCCTTTACACAACTTGATGTAAAATAGGTGAATAAAATTAGTTACCTCCATATTGGTACACATACTTCGAGCATGTAAACTATTTTTGAGCATATAAATGATTATTGTTTTAGACTGTATTTCTTAAATTTGGTGATTTTGATAACTTAGTAAAATTTGCTATGTCAAATATACAGGGCGATCTGTGGAATTCAGTACCTCATAGCTATAACTTCCTGATTGCAATGGTTTGAACTTTGAACTGCTTCAAATATCTGGCCAATCAGCAGTGCGCAATGTATCACCATAATTTTATAGGTTTCAGTAGAATAACTTCGCTCAGAGATGAGTGAGTCTTTATTATTTTTGAGTAGTAACACATAGCTTTTGGCACGTCAATGACCGCCCACAATATTGCAGAGATGAGTTTTCTTTAGTTTCGAGTGGGGTGTAAGTTTTGGCGGTGCTCCCGAAGTATGCGAACCAAGATGGCGGACATCGGAACGTAACATGGGTAACAGGTTCGGGTTAGGCGATCATTTTTTTCCAATTTTCCTTATTTTAGTCCTATTATTAGTTCGAAGACTAGCCAAGAGCCTCCTGTAGTATTTATACCTAAAATTATGGCCTAACCTAGTACACATATTACATTCCGATGTCCGCCATCTTGGTTCGCATACTTCGGGAGCCCCGTTTTGGCATTCGACTGTCGCCTACAACAGGGGTGTGCAACCTTTAGTACAGAAGGATCAGATAACAAATAACTGAGTGAATCCACGGATCTCTGGCACAAAAATTTTGGTTA